GGATTAGTTGGGCTTCCTTAGTTTACTTGATTCATTTTTATCCATTTGGGAAAATTCTTAGCCATTACCTTTTTAAATATTGCTATTTCTCTTTTCTCTCTGGCCCACTGAGAACTCCAGTTATATATATGTTAGACTTTCTCACTGTATCTTCCTTGTCACTTCATCTCTTTTTTGTATTTTCTATCTTTTTTATCACCTGGGCATTCTCTCATGATGTGTCTTGTAATTATTAGTTCTTCTTTCAATCATGTTTGATCTGTTGGGTTTCCTAACTTCAGTTATTATAATTTATTCATCTCTAGAATTTCCATTTAGAGTTCTTTCATGTCTTTTGGCCATTATTCATAGTCTCTCTCTCTCATTTTCAATTCTTTCTTTTCATGGAGTTTTATATATTTCTATTCTTTGACTGATAATTCCAGTATTTGAAGTCTTTGCTTGTCTAGATTGCTGACTTTTGCCCATTGATGCCTTTTTTTCTTATATATTTTGTGCCTTTTGATGGTGATCGATCTCTTTTTCCTTAGAATTGTATCAATAAATGATAAAGTTGGATTGAAGATATGTTCGTTTAGAGAGCATTCACATTTATTTTTGCTGAGCAGGAGGCACTGTATTTCGGAACCACTTTTCCTTTCCATTAATGAGGTATATGTATGTATGTGTGTGCACATATGTGCATGTGTATTTGAGATATAATTTACATACCATGAAGTTCACCCTTTTAAAGTATATGATTTAGTGGTTTTAGTATATTTACAAAGTCCAGAACCAATTTTAAAATACAACCTCGGCTTGAGGCTTAGACCACAGAGGCATTGTGAATTCATGCTGCACACCCACATGAAGGCTACCTTTATGGTTAAAAATTCTTGAGTGAAATTTACTTTCCTTTACCTAAAACCGAGATCAAAAGGCCACCTTTCCTTGCTGTCCTGTTCTGCAGGGAAAATTGGTTTTCTATATGCCTTATAGATATGGTATAGCCCTCGTCCCAGCTTTATATAGGAATTTCCTCGGGGTGCCTGGGTGGCTCATTCAGTTAGGCATTTACCTTTGGGTCACGACATGATCCCGGGGTTCTGGGATCAAGCTCCATGTTGGGCTCCCTGCTGAGCAGGGAGCCCGTTTCTCCCTCTACTGCTCCCCCTCCTTGTGTTCTCTCACTCTTTCTCTGTGTCAAATAAATAAATAAAATCTTTTAAAAATAACAAAACAAATAGTCTTTGAAAATTCAAACCAAATTAAAAAAAAAAAAAGAGGGGCGCCTGGGTGGCTCAGTGGGTTAAGCCGCTGCCTTCGGCTCAGGTCATGATCCCAGGTCCTGGGTTCAAGCCCCGCATCGGGCTTTCTGCTCAGCAGGGAGCCTGCTTCCTCCTCTCTCTCTGCCTGCCTCTCTGCCTACTTGTGATTTCTCTCTGTCAAATAAATAAATAAATAAAACTCTTTAAAAAAAAAAAAAAAAGAGTTTCCTCTCAGACTCCCTTCTTAAGAGTTTTGTCTCGTATCTCCTATATCCTCTTGGTAATCAGAACAGGAGTTCAAGGTCACAGAAGTTGAGCAGGTGTCCCAGGGCAGCTGCCAGTTCTGGAATTAGCTCACTTCTCTGAATTCCAGCTCTTGGCTCATATTTGGTCTTAGAAGATTTGATTCTTTACTTCCCAACTCAGCAATGCATTTAGAAAAAATTTTTTAAAATACATTATTTATCGGGGCACCTGGGTGGCTCAGTGGGTTAAAGCCTCTGCCTTCGGCTCAGGTCATGATCCCAGGGTCCTGGGATCGAGCCCCACATCGGGCTCTCTGCTCTGCAGGGAGCCTGCTTCCTCCTCTCTCTCTCTGCCCGCCTCTCTGCCTGCTTGATCTCTGTCTGTCAAATAAATAAATAAAATCTTTAAAAAAATACATTATTTATCATATTTGGTTTGTAGTGGCAAGGTTATTTGGGACAGTGCAAGAATATTGTCCGCCTTTCTCTTTTGTTGATCGTGCACATTTTTTTTCTTTCTTCCGTCTCTAGCCAATTCTCCAGGGAGACTGCGTGGTTCACTGCTAGCCACATCTTGTCTTTATGTGGCCCTTCTCTTCCTTCTGTGGGCTGTAGTGGAATTCCTTGAGCTGACTAAGGACGTTCCCAGTTCCTTGAAGAAGGGCATCTTGCTGCTTCCTCAGAGACTCAGCCATACGAGCCTTAGAGGCTCAACAATAACCAAATCTTAAACTCATCTTAAGCCTATAATAGAGTGAAATTCATTTTCTTCTTCTGCTCATGGCTTACCAGCTTCAGTGTATGGTTTTTGAGTCCTTTCTACCTCTCCACAATCACTTTTATTCTGACATCTTTTAAGACTAATTTCTCTCATTGTGCCCAAAGGGAGAGAAAGCTTCCTCAAACCCTTTCTTCACCTTCTCTCTGGAGACCAGCTTGCTGTGCAGCTCAGATAGGAAGAACAAAGGGAACATGCCGTGTGGGTGGGATTCTGGTCTCTGTAACACCCCTCACTCCCGCCAGTCTCAAGATTAACTTATGGACTTGGTGGCTGTCCCTGGAAACACCCCTCCATAGCCCACTGCCAGCTAAATGTGGGACTTGCCTATCTGGGGCTGGGCCCCAGAAGAGCCCAGATGCCTGGGCAACTTCTCTCCCTCTTCAGGAAGTTTCTGTTAAGTATCACTTACAGGAAACAGAATAGGAAGCATGGAAACAGCAGTTCTCAAGGGATTTGGGGAGAAAAGTGTTCCCTTAGGAAAATTTGTCAGAATCTCTTATGGAAGATTTTTAAATCACCACGCCTCCAACCCCAATACGTGAGCCACACTTCTGGCAGGAGGGACCAGAGTGGGGAAATGCTGAGAACCACTGGTCTAGAACTACACTGTCCAGTATTGTAGCTACTAGCCCCGTGGGGCTATTGTGCTCTTGAAGTGTACAGCTAGAATAATACTCTGGATTTTATAGGTATAATACCAGAAAAAGAAGGCAAAGTATCTTAATAATCTTTATATCAATTACATATTGAAATGCTACTATTTTAAATATGTCAGAGTATGTAAAATATTTATTAAAATTAATTTCACCTGTAACTTTTTAAAATGAAGTTACATACATGGCTTGCATTCGTGTCTTACTTTATACACCTCTTAAAATGCTGATCTAGAAGATAACTTGTTCCTTTTGGGAAAGTGTGTATGTGTGATATTTTGAGCCAAAGTGTTGGTTCAGCCTGTAGCCTCTACTGGTGTGATGGTTGGCCATTTTTGCCTGACTCATACAGATAGAGGTGACTTCATTTATTCCTGCAGAGGTTTCTCAACAGTGCCCACAGCCCCTGATCCTAGGCAGAAAAGAAGATTGCATTCCCAAATGAGGAAAATAAAAATAGGTTTTTAAAGGAGTCATGTAATCAGCAATAACTTTAAATGGTCCTTGTCCTCATTGCTTTCTCTAGAAACTCATTAAACTCCGTGCCCTCCAATTAGCACATGTATTTCCTATTCACTTCCATATTAGTTTGGATATCCAGGGACATGGCTCTTAGAATGTTCTTTTGGTGTGATCTTCAGGAGCTGGTAGCTCTAGTTGGCAGGCTCTAGCTTCCAAGCCATTTCTGGGTCATGTGCAGACGTCGTCAGAGTAGCAAGGCAGCCTTCTTGGGTTGGACTCGGGCGTCCCACCTGCCTACTCTGACTCTGAACCCCCTGCATTGACAAATGGCACTTGACACCACCGATGACCACCTCTGTGCCCAGTTTCCCCACAACTTTTATAGGACCCAGAACTTTTTAACCAGTGCTCTCTTTGCCGCCATCTTGGACAATATGGCAGCAAGTGATCACTTCAGTATATTTTCTAACTAACCTGCATCCATCCCTAATTTATCAAGGTCAAATAACACTCTATATGAATAAGCAACCTTTCCTTGGCACCTCTGCATTGGAGATGAGGGGAATCCAAGGATTTGCTACAGTGCACTTGGTTCTGCCCACTGGGTACTGTGAGAGCTCGGGGAGCAGGCTGCCTGGTGACTTGCGCAAGGGAACATGACCCCCTGTGCCTCCTCTGCCTCCCTTGCATAGTGGGGAGGATGACAGCACCTTCCTCGGCGTTGTGCAAGATTGAACAATGAGGGCACGTTGAGAACTTACATTGATCGGTGTTTGGCACACACACTCGCATGCATGATTGCTGTTCAATCCTATTTTGAAAACTTGTTTTAATTCAATAATACCTGTAGAATATCTTTATCTTATCTTATAACATTATTTTAATACCTCAGAGTGTCCTTTCATATAGATATACGGCAACTGATTTAATTGATCTCCTACTGTAGGATTTTCCATTTTGTTTGTTCCTTCCTTCCTTTCTTTTTTGCTATTATAAACAATGACATCATGAATATCAGTGCAGCTAAATTTTTCTTCACATTCTTGAGTATTTCCTTAGCATGAATTCAAAGAAACAGAATCACTTCATCAAACCTATTTATATTACTGAGGTTTTGATAATATGGCCAAATCCTTCACAGATTTTCCAGAATTGTGTCTGTCCCAGCTGCGATCCCCTGCCTGCAAGAGTGGGTGTCAGGATGGAGAGCTGTCTGCTTTTACCTTCTACCACACAGGAAGCACAGTTCACAACCTTTATGCTCAGAAGTGCTTCCTTCCTTGCTATCACACCTGACACGTACCCCCCACACCCCTTCCTGAGCCTGCCCAGCCCCCTGAGGTGCTCTCCCCTGAGCCCCACACTGGTCTTCTTCTAGTGGTTTCCATCATTTATTCCACTTCCTGTAAAATTCAATCCTACCTGGTGTTGTTGCTTCATAATTTCTCCCACTGGACTGTCAGAACAATTCCCAAGGGGGAAAAAAGAAAGGTGAAATGATTTGATCTGAATCTACTTCCTCACCGATACATCTGCTCATGGCTTTTCTGAAGGTTTCCTTCTTTTTCAGAAGCCAGCAAGTTCTCACTGATCTATTTTCTTATTGTTTCAGCCGCTGAAAGGAGCAGTTGGACAGAAAGTAACACTGAATCCCACATAGAAAACATCACCTTTGATCAGAACCAAATGGACCTTTCCACAGTGGTTTCCAAGGAGGCTGTGAGGACTCAGATCCCCACAAAGAACCATACGTCTTCAGATGCTCCAGAAAACTTCACTCCACAGACCGAAGCAGCAGATGCTAGAGGAAGAAACAACTCTTCCTGGAAGACAAATTTCACCACTTCCCCCGTTGGGGCTGACACAGCAACGGCTCTGATTTCCCAGAGCCTCACCAGAGGTGAGTTTGTGCCAGTGATGGCCTGTTTCCTGCAGGTATGTCCCCTCCTGGAAAACGAAGTTTCTGCATCTCCCTCTTCCCCAGCCTGAGCCCCGGTGCCCATCCAAGGGTCCTGGGCTGTGGGTCCTGGGCTGTGCGGCTCGGACGCCCTCTGTGGCTCGCTGTGATTGAGTGAGTTTGCAGCATAGTCCACGTGAGGACTGAGAGGCCTGGAGGCCTGAGCAGTCCCGTGGAATTGACATTCTGTGGCCAGACTGAATCCCAGTGACTCCGGTGACCATGCCACACACTGCAGTCTCCGAGGGAGGTGCCAGGTCTGGTCCAATGGGCCACATAGCTGGGTCTGTGTGCACGTGGCTCCAACGGTGGTTCCTGCTTTAATCTGCACAGCTCAGTGGGTTGGCACCTTGTCATGAAAGGTTTCAAGAACGGGCTGGGGCTGGATGTGCAAGATTTGCCTGGGGAAGGGAGGACAAAGAAAAGTGGCACCAATTGGGTACCTACTGCACACCCACACATCTGTTCCTTCAGTTCTCACGGCAAGCCAGTGAGGTCACATTATCCTCTTTTGAGGAATTTGGAAACTGAAGGTAGAGAAGTTAATTAATCTGAGGTGTCTAGGTCAAACAGCTCATAGGTTTTATGGTTGGGATTTGAGGCTCTCTGTGCATCTGAGCAAGGTAGAAGGAGTAGCTGAGGAGTGGGGTCCACAGATCACGTGAGGAAAGAAGAGAAGCTGGGTCTCTTTGTGAGGCTGGCTGGCCAGCGGCTTCCCATGGGGAGGGGGTCAGTCCCACATGGAGGAGAGGACAGCTGTGTGGAGGGGGTTAGGGGCAGTCACAGAGGACTTTGAAGACCAGGCCAATTAGATTTGGTGTGGTAGGAAGAGTCACCAAAGGTTTTTGAACAGGGCGGTGACATGATCACAGCAAATCTGGGGACGAGTCGGCTGGCAGGCAGGTAGAAGACGTCTAGGGTGGGAGATGGGACAGAGGGAACCTGGAGTCAGGGGACCACCCAGGCAGAGCCGGGTGCTAAGATCCACAGCCTGGTGGCCTCCGGTGCAGTGAGAAAGGGATTGGTAAAGACTCTTCACAAAGGAAAATTGATACGACTTGGTGACAGCCTAAAAGTAGAGGGTGAAGCCATCAAAGATCACCCCATGGTTTCCCGAGCTAGTTCCAGGAGCTTGGGTGGGGGACTCAATGCTATAAGGAGTGCAAAGGACAGTATTTTATGTTCCATTCATGAGTGATGGACGTAGAGCTTAGAACTGCCCAGGGTGCCGCCTGGGGATGCTGGTCATGCAGATATTGGAAATTTTGTTTATGTTGACTTTAAGTCAGTTCTGAGACCAGCTTTGTGGAATGTGAGTGACGGGTCATGGAGATCAGAATCAGATCTTTGATTCCATATCGTCTGACACTTAGCTTCATTGTGCCCCTTTTGTAATAACTTGACCACTAAAAATGCCGTCTTTGTTGGTGAGATCTGAACACAGGCTTTGTCTTGGTTTGCGGTCTCTCCTTCAGGAGTGAATTTGTTGTAGAATGAATAATTGCTCCTCATTTCTCCTCACAGAGGTCAGAGGTGAGCCCACTACCCATTACTCAGACGTTTGGAGGTCTGCTGATGGAATTGTAATTGTTACTGTCTGCTTTCAGCTCTGGGAACACTTCACTTGCCATCCAGCTCGGGGTCCGAAGGAAGAGCTGACCCTTCCCACACGGAGAGCTTAACATCCCGGGGTTCCGTGGAGAGAGGAAAGGGACTCCCGGAAGAAGTGACTGTGCACAGCCAAGTGGCTGCCACTTGGGTTTTAGGACAGTCCCCTCCTCCTGCTCTGGGGATGGGAGAAGAGATCACAGTCTTGGGGAAGAGAAACACCTCAGGCCCGGCGCTTTCCTGGCTGCTTTTCTCCAGGACTCCGGCTTCCTCCCCTCCCTCAGAGCCCTCCTCAGGTGAGTGCTCCTATCCCAGCCTCCCACACGGATGTCATCCAGAATAGAAGTAGTAGATGCACACAGCTCCCTAGTAACATCCCTGTCACAGGGGCTGAGGGGGAAAGGCATTAGGGACAAATGCAAAGTATTTGGGGCAGAAGTACCATCTGTACAATGTATCTTTGTTCTGAAGTCCATCTTTAAAATATGTTTTCTTTAACTGCATAAGGAGGAAGGTTAGAATTGGTCTAATGGCTGCTACAGGCCCTTTGTGTCCACCATCCCCTGCTTGTCCCCCTCTCCCCACGTATACTGAGAGTTGTCAATATGTCTCCTTGCATAAGAGGCCACGCTTTGGGGTGAGTGAAATGGTGAGTGTTGTATCATTTGATTAGGAGTTAGATTTGTGTTTCTTCATCATTGCAAAATCACTTCTTGCAATGGCAAAGATAACATAGATAGACATTTTTCTGGGTATCATTAAAAAAAAACAAAGCGCAAAGATAACAGACATTTTTCTAGGTATCATTAAAAAACCACAAAAACGGGCGCCTGGGTGGCTCGGTGGGTTAAGGCCTCTGCCTTCGGCTCAGGTCATGATCCCAGGGTCCTGGGATTGAGCCCCGCATCGGGCTCTCTGCTCAGCAGGGAGCCTGATTCCTCCTCTCCCTCTCTCTGCCTGCCTCTGCCTACTTGTGATCTCTGTCTGTCAAATAAATAAATAAAATCTTAAAAAAAAAAAAAACCCACAAAAACAAAAACAAAGTGCCCGTGTTTGCGAGACTGCGGGCAGTGGAGGACTCACCTCTCTGCCTCTTCAGCTCCTAGTCATCAGTTAAGCTCCACTCCCTGCCCCGCTCACCCTCACCCCACCACCTCCCCCACCCCTGCCCGTGCAGGTATTCCCTTTCAGCAAGCCTGTTCTCAGCCCTCTGAGCCTATGTGCCGTCCACCCTGTCACACCAGGGTATTCAGCATCCATCTCCCCAGAGGCACTGTGATCCTCTCGAGGACCCAGGCTGTGTCTATCACTCTCTTAGGTTCCCTGCCATCTCAGACCACCGTAGGGTTGGTAAGTAATGGGGATTAGCACATGCCCCAGTATCACAAGGCTCCTCCAGCCGCAGGCCAAAGAGAATGCTGGAAACTCTGTCTTTTCCCACCTCTGAGGTTTTATTCAGAATCCGTGTATGCTGCATGTGTTTTCATCCACATGCCTGAGGAAGCAGGACAGAGAGGGCTGGAAATCGTCTTGGAAATAGAGATTAGGTTGCTTCCAAAATTGCCATTTCCAAATTTTCATAGGTTAGGATTTAGAGATACTTTGAAAGACTAGGGGTTTGGGTTTATGTCACCAAAGCAAAAACTGAACCTGGATATCCTTTCTGGAATACCTAAAGCAGCCAGTTTCTCCTTTATATACTATGTATAGTTTCTGCTGACTGCATATGTATATAATTTATGATTCATGTCTTTAGGAGATTCCTTTTAAGATTATTCTTAAACATTGGTTAGATTGGATAAAAGCTATGAGCCTATTTCTAGCTTCAAAGGTCTGTGGTTCAGTGATTTACAACCAACTTTACTAAATGGTAGGAAGGAAGTGTTTTCTAGGAAGCTACATTTTGATTCTGGTCAAGGCCATTTAATATTTATATTTTAAATTCAACCCACTACTGTGGTTTATATTTTGAAAATCAGCCTATGCTTCTAACTTTACTAGACTTGGCTCTGTCGTCATCTAGATTTTTTCAACATTTAAAAAATTAGTTGGCCCTCAAGTTCCTTGAGCATTTGTCATTTTAGAACCTTATACTTGTAGGGGTGACTGACAGTCAGTGGACCATGTAACTCTTGATCTCAGGGTTGTAAGTTCGAACCCCACATTGGGTATAGAGACTACTTAAAATGAAATCTAAAAAAAAGAAAAAAAGAGGGGTGCCTGGGTGGCTCGGTTGGTTGGGCAACTGCCTTCGGCTCGGGTCGTGATCCTGGAGTCCAGGGATCGAGTCCCACATCAGGCTCCCAGCTCCATGGGGAGTCTGCTTCTCCCTCTGACCTTCTTCCCTCTCATGCTCTCTCTCTCAAATAAATAAATAAAATCTTAAAAAGAAAAAAAAAGAAAGAAAGAAAGAAAGAAACTTATACCTTTAGTTTTTTTTTTTTTTTTTAAAGATTTTATTTATTTATTTGAGAGAGAGACAGTGAGAGAGAGCATGAGCTAGGAGAAGGTCAGAGAGAGAAGCAGACTCCCCGCGGAGCTGGGAGCCCGACGCGGGACTCGATCCCGGGACTCCAGGATCATGACCTGAGCTGAAGGCAGTCGTCCAACCAACTGAACCACCCAGGCGTCCCCCTTTAGTTTTTGAAGAGTTCTGCCATATCGTTCCTACTCCTTGAGTCTTTCACTGAGCATTTCTCTTCCTTTTTACTAACGTGGGTATTCTGTGCTATCTTGAGGACCACCTCTTTCAAAAACTAGATGCTATATCAGGCTTTACGTGCTGCTAAATGAGGGAATGTTAAATGACCCATCTGGGTCTAGTCTGCCAGCCTCCCTGCTCCCTGGAGAGACTTGAAGCCACATGGGAAACACAGCTCTGTGGGGTTAGTAACGGCTCACCTGTGAACCAGAGCTCTGGTATACCTCCTACCAGCCCTTAAATCTACATCCTGGGAGCTTAGTATCGCGGCCTGGGCCTGACAGCAGGATAGAGGGGCACGCAGGCGTGAGCTCTGAGAGCCAGCAGGACTTGCCCGAGGCAGACCTGGAGGCGCCTCGCCGGCTGGCACTCTGTACAAGGGAAGCAAAGGGGGAGCGAGGCGGGTGGGAGGGGGGAGGTGTGCCTGTTGACACTTGGCAACTCAATCCACCCATAAATGTGACCCAGCGAAAGTCCTGGCACTTAGAGCAGTCCCATGAGTTGTGCTCTCTTCAAAGTAAGCTTTCACGTAGCCACCCGGAGCCTGGCCAGAGAGGATGGGGCTCTCTAGGAGAAACATGAAGGGATTAGACCTCATGATCATAAAGATCCTTCCTAGCTCCAGCCTCTGTTACTCCCAACACACCCGGCCTTGGTATTCTGTGCTCCTGTCCCTCCTCTCTCTGCTACGAAGAAACAGGGATTCAGCACAACTTCATCTGCAGCGGGGCCAGCCAGGCGTTCCCTGCTCCCCAAAATAAGTGATAGGCCAGGAATGTATGCTTTAAAGCAGGTATAGGCCCAGACTGCTAAATCAGATTTTTAGAAAGAGATCAGGAGCCATTTGAAATGATTTTTCTTGCTGCTTTAGATCTTTCTGTACTTTCCACATGTTCTGCAAGGACCATGTGCTATTGGATCACTGGGGGGAAAATAAATAAGTAAAGCAACTAACAGGAAAAGTTCTCTTTTGAAGGCAGAAAGAGATATGTATATGTTGAATTGTGTGAGAATGGCTGCAGTTGAACACTAAATTTAGCCTTGAGCTTCCTGGAAACCAGGGCACAAAGGGAAACTGGGTGGGGTGCGAGACCATTGTCAGATAAAGTAAGCAGACAATTTCATCCCTAGGCAGGCGTGTGTTGGGGGCCGTGAATGCTCAGACGACTGTTCATGTAAGGAGTGTTGAGAATCCTAATAGAAAATGCCTCCGATTGCTGTTTTGAGGAAATTGTGCTAACGATCTTTAAAAGGCAATATTTTATATAGATTCTCAGTAGGAGCTCAGGGTATAATAATAATGGATCTCAACTCATGAAAGTATGTCTGTGGGTGGCTGAGCCAGTGCGATCCAGGTAAATTGCTTTGTGGTGATTTCACTTTGTAAAGGAAGAGAGAGCATAAATAACTCAGGAGATTATAGATGTAGCATATCTTTCTCAACCATCAGCTGCTTCAGCTGGGTGTTCAGCAGGTCTTGGACAGCTGTCAGACCAAGGTTGAGCATTCGCTGCACGCCTGAGGTTCCAGCATTTTGTGCTGGGATTGGGGAGTGACCCATACACTTTTATCAGATGAGTGGGGCATTCTTTATACCTCCTGTTCTAAAGATTAGGGAACTTGGCTCGTTTCTGCTCCCAAATGGATGGCCTTCCCATTTTTGAATGGGTGCTTCAGGGGTAGAAATGAGCAAGGGACGGCGGGTATTAAATAACCAATATTGCTGGCCCATTGATTAGAAACATGGTAAATTTCCCCCGAGATGTATTCAGCACAGAGACTAGTGTAAGGGGTGACTCTCGATGAGTTTGACCAACCATTCTCTCTTTCTGGGAAGAGGCAGCACTTGTATAGAAGTACTCAGTACAGAAGGACTCACAACTTTACTGTGAGAATTCAGAGGGATTATGTCTATCGAGTACTTACTTAGCACAATGTAGAAGGGTATATGTAAGACACTGGCACATCGAACTGGTCAGTAAATGGCAGCTTTTAATAATGGCGGTGAGATGATGAAGCAGTGTTCCACGGAGCCTTGGTCAGGGACAGCACAACCATCGTCCTTTCGTGGCCTTCAGCGTTTGTGACTTCCGTAACTGTGTGTCTGTGGCCATTGATTTGCTGTACATGTACTCAGGCTGAGTCCAAGTTAACCGCCACCGTGCAGTGATTCGATGAAATCCTGCAGTTGGCTAGGAATAGTGCTTTGAAAGAGCACCCAGCAACTGAGGAGCTTGTAACTTGGCAGGGTCAGATGATGACTCTAATGACATGAGGCCTGAGAAGCTAAGTGGCTAGTGAGGCTTTGGAGCATGTCTATATTATGCATTCCTTTTTTTTATACTAATGGATTTTTATTTGTTTGGTTTTGCTTTCAAGTAAGGGTGTGTTCAAGTAGGCTAGGGCTCTATTTGGGGGTCCAGTCTATTTTTTTTTGTTTCAGTCACTAGCTGTGTGGATTGCTCGCGTCTTCGATTTGCTTTCCTTAAGGCCCAGTGAGCAGAACTGCAGGCTGTGTTCTAGGCGTAGCTGGTTCTGTGGTTTGTACAAGAGTCAGAGGAACCTTTGTGTTTCCTGTGCTCCCCCTCTCTCTAATTATATTTGATATTTATTTGTGCTTTTGGTCACAGCTGTACATAGGACTGGTCTTCAAGGAACCATTTTTTTTAAGATTTTATTTATGCATTTTAGAGAGAGAGTGCAAGCAGGGGAGGAGCCGAGGGAGAGGGAGAGGGAGGGGGAGGGGAGGGGGAGGGGGAGAGAATCTCAAGCAGACTCTGTACTGAGCATGGAGCCTGATGCGGGACTCAGTCTCACAACCCTGAGATCAGGACCTGAACCAAAACCAAGAGTCAGACACTCTACCAACTGAGCCACCCAGGTGCCCCTTTAAGGGACCATTTATAATGAGAACTTAATTCTTCCCTTTCTGGGTCGTAAATAACAGCTTGAAACCTTTCATTATAAAGGTATAAAGTACTTTTATTATTTTTGGCTTAAAAAGAAAAATGTTTTTTCTTGCCTTTGGATCTTGCCGGCCATGTTTCTTCCCACTCACCATGCTTTCCTGTGGTTTATTCCTGTTTGGAATGAGAACCTCAGGGTGCCCTTCTGGAGGCCAGTTCTTAGGGTGTCCTTTGCAAAGTTCTTTGTGGAAAGGAGCCATTAGCAAGCCACTTTACTTCTGTGGAACAGATTGCGTATTTTGACCAAAATGGCCTATAACTCAATTTTTGAGGCTCTTGACAATTAATACCGGTGTCTGCTATCCTTTTCATCAAAAAAGTGTTCCCATCCTGGAGTCCTTGATCTCCCAGCGGCCCACTGGCGTGGTATGTAAGCTTGAGAGCCGGTCTCCAAAGCCTCATGAGGCTGACTATAATTATGGGACCTGTTCACTTTTGGATGGAATTAAATCAAATCAGTGTGGTAACATTGAGTATATCTTGCTGACTCGAAGCTCTGTTACTTCTTTTTTTTTTTTTTAAGATTTTATTTATTTGACAGAGAGAGAGATCACAAGTAGGCAGAGAGGCAGGTGGAGAAGAGGGGGAAGCAGGCTCCCTGCTGAGCAGAGAGCCTGATGTGGGGCTTGATCCCAGGACCCTGGGATCATGACCTGAGCCAAAGGCAGAGGCTTAACCCACTGAGCCACCCATGAGCCCCTGTTCTGTTATTTCTTTTTTTTTTTTTTTAAGATTTTATTTATTTATTTGTCAGAGAGAGAGAGGGGGGAGAGAGAGCAAGCACAGGCAGACAGAATGGCAGGCAGAGGCAGAGGGAGAAGCAGGCTCCCTGCTGAGCAAGGAGCTGGATGTGGGACTCGATCCCAGGACGCTGGGATCATGACCTGAGCCGAAGGCAGCTGCTTAACCAACTGAGCCACCCAGGTGTCCCCTGTTCTGTTACTTCTTAAATGCAGTTCAGTTAATAGTCTTTCAAAACCTCAGGTTTACGTGGCCGTGAGGTGGGAAAAGTAGAGAACGCTTGATGCGGACAAGGGCTGGAATTACTGCCCTAGGCTAGTATTATTCCCACTGTGGTCTGCAGAGCCCTGGCCTCCCCAGGGGTGGCCTGGAGGCAGGGCTTCTGTAACTGCCTTACTTTTATTCATTTATATATTTGGATTTTAATCTACAACAGCAGTTTGAACAAAAGGATCTCATGGCTAAAATGAAGCAAAACAAAAACCTGTACCTTATCATGATGGCCACTCCCTGTATAATCTCTAAGCTGGAATTCCAGAGTAGAAGTTTTTTCCTTCCTCTATAAAAACCAAGGCAAAGAATGTCTAGAGGCTTTCTCCCGTCTTCCTTTCAGCTAGAGCCAAAGCTTTCCACTGTGCTAAGTGAAGGACCTCACCACTTCCTCACTTAGCTCTATGAGAATCAGAGCCCGTGAAGAGAGAGCGTCAGATGTGTTTATCTATATTTAGATCCACATTATCTAGATTTATGCAACAAAAGGTATTAAGCATTATTTGTATCTAGATGCATCCCTGATTTTCTTAAACCCCGGAGTAGTGTTAAAGCATATTTTCTTCCATTTTAGCTTCCGGAAGCACAGAGGAGCTAAACAACTCCACCATTCTCCCAAGTGCCTTGGCGAGTCGGAGAGCGAGCGAGCGTGTCGCCACCACGCTCCCCACTGGTGTCCCCAGGATGCTCCCGTCTTTAACCGTCAGTCTGCAGCCCCTAAATGAGACTGAGAATTTCCCCAAGGACTCCGAAATTGCCAGGACTTCAGTATCGGCCCATTCTTCACCCTTTGAGGCAGGGTTGCAAAGAAATAGGGAAATAATCAGGAATCCGGGAAATGGGGAATTCATCGAGCCGTCCACAGAAAATGGATTTGGCCTTGCATCTTCCCGGGTCTCCGTGGGATTCTGGCAAAATGATTCCCCAAGTAAGTATTTAATCTTCACTTGATCTCTTATGGACATTTAAAAAACTGTTGAGGGGCACCTGGGTGGCTCAGTGGGTTAAAGCCTCTGCCTTCGGCTTGGGTCATGATCCCAGGGTCCTGGGATCGAGCCCTGCATTGGGCTCTCTGCTCAGCAGGGAGCCTTCTTCCCCCTCTCTCTCTCTGCCTACTTGTGATCTCTGTCTGTCAAATGAATAAATAAAATCTTTAAATAAATAAATAAAAATAAAAAACTGTTGGGTTGTCTTGAAAGATGGCTTCACGACCATTTGCCATCTCAAAAAAATTAAATAAATAAAAGGGAGCGTATTCTCAGCTAACGCCATCTCCTCTGTCTGGTACACCACATTATCACATTTTTATTTGCATCCTTATGAGAACATTGTGAAGTCCGTCAGACAGGCATCATGCCTCCTGCTTTTTTATAGGTGAGGAAACAAGCTCAGAGAGATGAAGAAGTGAGGGTGTGGTCCTGTCGCTTGATCAGAGCAGAGTCAAGAGCTTGTCCTCAGAGCTGGCCCGGTGGACGGCTTCTTACCACCTGTGGGATTGTCCTCAGTGAGAGTAGGCCTGTTCTTTCAGACTAGCTGGAGTTAGCTTATGCACAGATTGTTCTTCCAAATAACATGTGCAGATAAAAGTATAGTCCTTCAAATTCATCATTTCAGTATATGCCCTCTAGTTTATTTTTTGTTTGCTATACTTGAAAATTAGAATTACTAGTGGGAAAAAAAAAAAGAATTACTAGTGGAATTGCTTGAGAAGAATGCCTCTGAGCAAGCCCTTTATGTGGGCACATCATATATGTTGGACGTAACCCCCTCAGTCCTTTGACCCCTTTGGGGGAAAGACAAGAAAACACCCAAGCCTGCAAGTTACTCCACTACTTAGCACATTCTCTTTCAAAGCTCCCTTCTTCACCAGCGCTTATTTTTAGTATTGCTATCTTATTGACATCGAAAAGGTTTGAAATAATTATCTAGACTGTGAAAATGCCTGTCAGGCTACCCATATAATATATACTCTACAAGGTCCTTGCGAAGGGGATCTTTGCTTAGGGAGGACGCACATCTCAGTTGTTGGGGAATCTCTCTCCCATCTGTGTCATGGCCTTTGTTTCCCTGACCCCTTCCAGCCTTCGGAGGAGACCAGCTTGCCAGCAGCTCGGAGGCAGAGCTGGGAAGCCCCATGTCTCAGACCGAGGCCGCGTCCAGGCCTGTCCCGTCGGGCAGAAGCAGAGACAGCACGGCGCGCTGGTTCCTGACCCACAGCAAGACATCTGCAGATGTGACAGGAAGCTCTACTTCCTATCCCGAAGTTGTGAACGCCTCAGTTTTGACCCACTTCTCAGCCTCTGCCCCCCAGTCTAGAGGAAGTGACAGAGCGCCGGGCCAGAGGAACTACGCTGAACCGGCTACCGAGTTGTTGTCCTCGTCCTCCTCAGAGAGTCTGGATTCCTCAGCTCCGCGTGGTGAACGCTCAAGTGAGTGTCCCCTTCACAGGACTGCACCCCCCGGAGGGCGGAGGGGCCGGTCACGGAGCCGCTCCGGAGGCCCCTCTGCTGTAGTCATTCCCAGGCCGTTCTTCCAGCTGTATAGCCCCACTTATTTCCTGGTTCATCTCCCAGGAGTTAATCTTGCCACCAGCCCCTCCCACACACAGATCACCATGTCCTTCTGTCCCCTGCAGCCCGCCCCACACCCCCAGACCTGCCTTAATCACACAGCTTCTAGAAGGTCAAAATCTTCCCTTCTCAGGCACTGTTGTTCACTCCAGGCCTGGACATTCCTCAAGAGCAGCTCTCCCTCCCCCTTGTTTAAACAGCTTTAGGGAGATAGAATTCACATTCTGTGAAGTTTGCCCAAACTGTACATTTCAGTGGCTTTTGGTGTATTTGCAGAGTCGTGCAGCCAGCACCACTAATTCCAGAATGCTTCCCCTGCCCCAGAAAGAAACCTGGTGCTCATCAGCACTCGCTCCCCATCCTTTTCTCCTGCCGGCTTCTGACAACCACTAACTTACTTTCTGTCTCTGCAGATTTGCCTATTCTAGACAGTTGTTGGGTTTTTGTTGTTGTTGTTGTTTTTAAGATTTATTTATTATTTGACAGAAATATATAGAGAGCACAAGTAGGCAGAGCGGCCGGCAGGGGGAGAGGGAGAAGCAGGCTCCCCACTGAGCAGGGAGCCCGGCACTAGGCTCGATCCCAGGACCCTGAGATCATAACCTGAGCCAAACAGACGCTTAACCAACTGAGCCACCCAGGCACCCCTGTTCTAGAGAGTTTGTGAATGAAATCCTACGACCCGTGGCCTTTTGTGATTTTCGCTCTGCATACCATTTTCAAGGTTCATCCCTGTTGTGGCCTGTGTTAGTACTTCCTTCCTTTGTATGGCTGATTTGCCACACTGAGTTCATCCTTTCATCAGTGATCGCACATGTGGGGCTTTCCCACCTTTTGTCCATTGTGAATAATGCCACCGAGAACATTCTGGTACGAGTTTTCATATGGATGTGTTTTACATTCTCTCGGAATGGCTGGGTTATAGGGTAGCTCTGTATTTAACCTTTGAGGAATCGTCAAACTGCTTTCCAAAGTGACTGCACCATTTCATATTGCCACCAGCAAGGTGGGAACGTTCCAGTTCCTCAGGGCCCTCCCCCAGCACCTACTGCGGATCACCTGTTGTGACGATGGCTGATGGCCGTCCTCCTGGATGTGAAGTGGCATCCCAGGCAGTTTGGATTTGCATGTTCAAGCTAATGACGTTGAGGGTTTTTTCACTTTGGGGAAAGTCTACTCGGATAGGAGTTTCTTTCTATAGTGTCTGGATCCGGTATTCCTAGTCCTTTATCAGATACTCCATTTGCAGATGTTTTCTCCCATTCTGTGGGTTTTCTTTTTAGTTTTCTGACAATAACATTTTTTGCAGCACAAAGGTTTTTAATTTTGATGAAGTCCAATTTATCAATTTGAGAACACTCTTTCTTTGATGGTCCTTTTTAATAATGTTTTTGGGTAATTTTACCAACAATTCTCAGCCACCTTGTGAGGGTGAAGTATGTGCTGAATGACGCAAAAATGCAGCAATTTACCATTTAAGCAGATAAAGGGCTTAAATCTGTACCTCTCTGCCACTGATAATAGGGGCTCCATTTCCCCCATATGAACGTCTTAATTGATGGGGAAAATTAGCATTTATTGCTACTGGTGATGGAAAAGCACATGCTTATTATGAAAGAGTACTACATGTATGGGTGGGGAATATTTGTGCTTTTTCACGTATGTGCGTGGAAACTGCAAGCTCTGTCTCCTGGACAAAAGGGTTCATTTTCCACCCTCACAACGTGGGGCTCAGAGTTTTCTCCTTCTCAAACCGGGAGCTTAGGTGCCATGCCCTTTCCTGTGTGCATCTCCTGAGTACCAGTACCCTTCACTCCATGGTGCGTGCTCAGTGGGTTTGTGTGGGAAAGGTGATCTCAGGGTGAGCAGGTCTTAGGGTTCAGATAAGGAATAGCCTCATTCCCAAAACCAGCTCACAGTCAGTTCACCTAATGCTTTATCTCGTTTGCTCTGAATCAGTCAAAGCAGACTCCTTCTGCCATCCAGCCTTTCAGAATTCTTGGTCTGTTCCTTTTTCTGGGCTTGGAGGCAGCCCCCGGTTTCAGGCCACGACTCTCTGCTTTCTTAACTCTGTAAGCCTGATGGGCTTGTTTGCCTAAACTCCATTTAAGAGTCTTGTAATCTCCCCAGCCTGGACCTTGTCCCCTCTGCCCAGGGAACTTGTACTCAGATACACTCAACCCTCAAGCTGCTCCTGGCAGACTTCCCATGGGTCTCTTAAGCCCTTCAGATTGGTCAGGTCACGTCTCTCCCTGCTTCCTGGCTGTCTGAGCACTTGCTGTGTATCCCTGTCCCCTGACTCATTCCTGCCATTTAATGCAGATCTACGAGGAAGAGAGCTTCCCTAACATGCAGCTTTACCTATGTTTTCCATGAGGTTTTAAGAGCTAGTTTGGGGGCACCAGGCTGGCTCAGTCAGTAGAACATATGACTCTTGATCTCAGGGTCATGAGTTTGAGCCCCATGTTGGGTGTAGAGATTACTTAAATAAATAAACTAAAAAAAAAAAAAAATAGCTAATCTGGTCTGGGAATAGGACTAAGAACTGGGGAAAGAACTTGTTTTCTCGGGGTGCCTGGGTGGCTCAGTGGGTTAAGCCTCTGCCTTCAGCTCAGGTCATGATCTCAGGGACCTGGGATTGAGCCCCGCATCGGGCTTTCTGTTCAGCAGGGAGCCTGCTTCCCCCTCCCCCTCTGCCTGACTCTCTGCCTACTTGTGATCTCTCTCTCTCTGTCAAATAAATAAAATTTTAAAAAATCTTTAAAAAATAAAAATTAAAAAAAAAGAACTTGTTTTCTCATAGAACCAGATTATGCAGTATTTAGGCTAGGAAGAGTTGGACCTCATTTCCATAATTTCTGAGAAGGGTTTATTTGATAGTCTAATATATGAGTCTTCAAGCTTGTAGCATAAAACATACACCCAAGAAAGGAGGAAAAGGATATTTATTCAGGCATCACCTGTCCCATTCTCACCAAGAAAATAAATACATTAAGAAAACAAAACTTGGGGCATCTGGGTGGCTCAGTCAGTTAAGCATCTGACTCTTGGTTTTGGGTTTCAGGTCATGATCCTAAGGGTCATGAGATTGAGCCCTACATGGGGCCCTGGGCTCAGCAGGAAGTCTGCTGGAGATTCTCTCTCTCCCTCCCCATTGCCATTCCCCCCACCACCTGCTTGTACCTGTGCATTTGGGGTTTTTTGTTTTTTGGTTTTTTTATGATTTTATTTATTTATTTAATATACAGAGATCACAAGTGGGCAGAGAGGCAGGCAGAGAGAGAGGAAGGGAAGCAGACTCCCTGCCGAGCGGAGAGCACCATGTGGGGCTCGATTCCAAGACCCTGGGATCATGACCTGAGCCGAAGGCAGAGGCTTTAACCCACTGAGCCACCCAGGTGCCCCATACCTGTGCATTTGTGTGTGTTCTCTCCCTCTCTCTCAAATAAATATTTTTTAAAATTAAAGAAAAAAAAGAAAAAGAACATAGAACAGAAAATAAGCCAATCTTTAATCTCCAGCCACCGTGCATTTCTCACTGATGCGTTAAGGGAAAAAACTAATGCTCTAGAAGAATGATAAGCCCCATGTCAGTTCCGGCCCTCCCAGGAAGAAAAAGCCTTCTGAGTAATGGGGGGAGGGATCTCCCTCCTGGACCTCATCAGAAAATCTAAAGCCCCTGTGGGCCAGTCAGTCCTTTGCTGGGCATCCCCCAGCCCCACTGCCACCACCAGTTTCCCTGACATAAGCTCTGTTATGTATCCCCGAGCAGAAATACAGTATCGATCCTGTTCGCCGAAGTAGTAAACCTTCCCAGCAGTCCCAGTTGCCTGAATGGGTATGCTGATCTGCAGTGCCTCTCGAGGTTTTGGTCCTGAGACGGGTTTGCAGGGAGCACCACATTGTGGTTTCTCACGTGGGGTTGTCAAGAAAGACCCGGGAAAACCCAGGTCACTCCTGGGACTCCTGCGCGGTGCTGCTGCTCCAGCCCTGCGCTGACCCGCCATCTCCTTTCAATCCTCTTGCAGCCACTGAAGACGGTCCAGGGCCCGGAGGCAGTTCTGAGGTGGAGGAGAGGACGTCCCAGGCTCACCTCCCACACACCTCAGCTACTTTCACTGGGAATGGAGAGCGCACGCTGCGGTCCCTCACCAACGCCAGCACGACTTCAGGGGAAGTGGGGCACTCTGTGATAGTGCCCAGAGAAACCGAGAGCGCCACCCAGCATGGGAACGTGACCCTGACGGGTGACGCCCGCTTGGTCTCAGGTTCCCTGGCAGCCTCGCCAGCCCTGGGAGGTGAGGAGCAGGAACTCTGCCCACATCCCTTCCGCTCCCCTGTCAGTGTACCTACAGTCCTAGAATGATCAAGTTTGCTGTCAACCCAGAAAGTACCTTAGAAGCTCTGTCCAAAGAGAACTTTCTGGATTCTCCCACTTCCCCCCACTTGCCTCAGCCATGTGTGATGTTGTCTGCCAGGATGCCTAGAATAAAGGAGACCGGCCAGTCGTGGCCAAAGTCAATCTCCTGGGAAAGAAATATCTCATTATCATTATACGGAATGGAAAATTGGGAGGGTTTTCCTTTTTCCATTTAGACATAACAATTGTTCTATTGGGGTCTTAAGAGCTTTTTAGATACCAGTTTGCTTTTATCAAAAAAAGCATGTGGAAGGAATTTGGACCCATTCCCTCTTCTTCAGCCACTGGCCCCACTTCTCTTTTATTACCGTTTCCATTGCCGCCTCCCGCACTCCTCCCAGGTGGTAAAAATCCTCCGCACAGACTCTGTGCATTCCCGCCTGCCCACACCGCTCCTCCAAAATGCTCGCCACCAAAAACTGTCTCTACAAGGAAAGCATTTAGGGTGTGTTTGGGAGATTTCTTGTTTGTCGAGTTGACCTAACTTTGGTTTTTCCATTTGCAGTCACTGGAATTAGCTACAGTCAAGTGAGTGGCATGGATATGGAACAGGGGACTTCCAGTGACTACACAGACCACACCTATGTCTCATCCACTTTCACCAAAGGAGAACGGGCATTGCTTTCCATTACAGACAACAGTTCATCCCCGGACTTAAGGGAGAGTTCTACCTCTTCTACTAAGATCTCAAACTCTTCACTTTCAGACTCTTCTTCCTCATCTCAAGCTCAGACTGGAGGAAGGAATGTGTCATCCTATGACAGGGAGTACGCCCAGCCTTCCACTGAGTCGCTGGCTGTGCGCACAGCCAGTGTTCCCTCCTACACACCCACCATCAACAGGCCCAACACTTTGGTTCTTCTGGACACTGATGCTGCATTGACTCGTGGCTCCTCTTCTTCTTCTTCTTCTTTGGGCCCCCCTTTACCCCTGCCTTCAGTGTCCCAGTCCCACCAGTTGTTCTCATCAGTCTCACCATCAACCAGGGCCTCTGCTCTTCCACTGCAGTCCATTCCCGATGCACCCAAGCCCATGTCTTCCTCACCACCGCCCTTACCAGTATCCCTGACAGCATCTACCCCTGCTTCACCGTCTGCCCCCCAAACAACCCTACCACCTTCACCTCCTACCCTGGTCCTGCCCAGGGCAAGAGACACTCCTATGACCTCAGTTCAGACTGAGACAACAGCATTATCTGTGGCAATGCTCCCCAAGAGTCAAACAGCAGATCCTAAGAACCAGAGTAACCCATACCCTGAGAAAGTCATTACAGAATCAAAGCCACCAAGCCCAGATTCTCTGCCCACAGAGGCCACTGAAGCTGTAAGAGTGAGGTCTACACCAGGGATCCCTAGGCCCTCGACCTTAACAGAGTCCTCCACTCAGCAAACCCTTTCAGCCACGAGCATCAGCATACCCCAGACGTCTCCAGCTTTGACAACCACCATTCTCCAGACCTCTCATCCTTTCATCCCTGTGTCAACCAGAGCAGCTCCGATGGCTGACCCCACAATAGTACAGACTACGGCTGAAAAACAGCTCTTGCCAACCAGCCCTGAAATCCCAGCACCGCAGATCTCCACAGAAAGGGCTGTCACCACAGAAAGGAGCCAGGTGCATGGAAATGCTACCAGCCAATCGATCCCCCTGACCAGTGTACCCACATCAGTGAAAGGATTGACCCCAGGGCCTGGTGTGACGGAAGAGTACAGCCCGGCTTCACATCTCCTCAGAACATCTCCTCTCCCAGTCACACACATTTCCGCAGCTGAAGTATTGACTCCTAAATCTACCACCTCCGCTGCTCAGAGCAGCACGCGATCACCAGAAGTGTTGTCATCTCCAGCCGCAGGTAAAAGGCAGTTACACAAGCACACTGTGGACTGCACAGGCACGGGATTTGTGGGCACGTGGGGTAAGGGCTGCTCTCTGCAGTAGGTCAGAGTCTGGGCTGTCACCTCCTCAGATAATGTCATGGCAGTCCTCTTCTTCTCACCTCAGAGTTCCAGAACTCTTCCTAAAGCATGAGGGGAGGATGCCATTGGCTGTGTGTGGTATCTATAGATAGTGCCAGTGTAGCTTGTAATGCCCCAAATGGCAAGAGTCTTTTTTTTTTTTTTACTTTTTTTTTTTTTTACATTTTATTTTTTATAAACATATATTTTTATCCCCA